TATGTATCATTAATGTGTGGATAGGTCCCTAAACAACAAATAATTGAAAGAAAAACGTGATTGCGAGTGAAAATTTCATCATATTTCTCAGGAATGCTTCTTCAGAGCAATGTGTAAAAGGCTAAGTGTCCCTCTGAATTTATACTAAAAAAAAAGAAAACATCCCACCCCTCAACTACCAAAAGAGGAAACACTTGAACTGAACATGGAGAAAAATTAAACAGACATTTGAAAATAATAGGATGCATTTTCAATGCAAAAGCAAGAATAACATGCAATATTATTATGAAACAAATTATCCTATGTGGTTAGCTGAGTGAAACCTGTAAGCACAGTTCTGTCATCATGAAACAAGGGGACTAGACAGGTCCGTACATAGTTAAGTCTTGATCTAGTCTGCCCCATAATATGCACAGCCAAATTCTAATATACCACTTTTCATAAAGAGCCTGCTCACATTTCATCTGGCTGAGAATCCAACTGATTGTGTGTCTCTTTTATATATAATTCTACAAGTCTTACACTGATTTTGTTGCTGATTTTCAAAAGAACTCTTAATCTCAGAGAATAATTGGCCAGTGAGCCACAACTCTCTCTTCCAAAAATAAAGGGACAGCTTAGACTGAAACAAAGTTGTAAAGTCTAAGGCAGCTGTTGACTGAAGTGAGCTACCAAGGACTACTGACAAATTCCTGTTTCAAAACACTTGGTAGGGTATTAGCAAGCAGAAATTATCTCCCTGTGACAAAGTCAGAATCCTACTACAATAGGATAGGGAAAACATTCCAGTAGTTTTTCCAAAATATTTTGAAATCCTGCTCAACAACAGAAAAGCTCTCTTAGCTACTTTACAGGCAACAAAAGGGAAATGTCCTAACTTCTGATTACCTAATTGTACTCAGAACATTTTGTTTCAACGTTGTTAGCAAGTGATGATAGCACAAAGAGTGCTTGCAGTGACATTGTTTATTTGCAATATTGCAGTTTAGAACAAGCCACCCAAGCATGAAGACAGTTCTATTTGCACTTGGCTCTGACACTTCATTATGTGTGAAAAAGAGGCACTACTGCACATAAGTAGCGAGCTAGATGTTTAAATGGTAAGCAGCCATCTTTTATATCATTCTTGGAAAAACTGCAACATCAGCAAAAGGAGAACACGGATTCATGGGAATAAACTATACAGATGACGTGTTTTCAGAGACGTATTTTCTCTGAAACACATTTGAGTATTCTAACCCACATGGCAAACATAAAGCTTGCAGCACTGGGTTAAGATAGGGCCCATCCAGGACTAGTTTGCTTCACAAACTAAGAAACAGACTCAGACTCATCACTCCCTTGATTGGGATGTGAAGATCTGTGCCCGTTATATCTTCTCAGTATGTCCCATTCTAACCTACCAAAAAATAATAAACTGGAGCAGATGAGATGGACCCAAATGTGTCAGATATTTTGGTCTTCAAAAGAGCATCTAAGCAAAGGCCTAGTGCCAAAAAAAGTTAGAAAGGTTTGTGAAACTGTCCCATGTAAAAATCTGCACTGCCAAATTGATGAAGTACAAACTAGACATTGTGCACAGTGGACTGAAAACTGGCTGAAATGCCTGGCTCAAAGGGTTTCAATGAGTGGTACAAAGTCCAGCTGAGGGCCAGTCAGTCGTGAAGTAGCCCAAGAGTAACCACTGTTTAGTATCTTCATTAATGACCTTTTTCACTGGAAAGGTGATCAAACAGTAGAACAGGTTACTTAGAGAGGTTGTGAAGTCTGAAGATACTCAAAACCCAGTTGGATGTGGCCCAGGGCAACTGCACTAGTGAAACCCCACTCTAAGCAGGAGGGTTGGACTAGATGATCTCCAAGAATCCCTTCCGATCTCAATGATCCTGTGATTCCATGATTCTGTATGTTAGATAAGAAACTGAAAAGTTGCTGGCAGCAGACAAAAAACAAGAGGATATAAATGACGTGCTTTGGAAGACAGATGGTAAGCTACGGACACCCTATGATTGCATGGGCCATTGAGGAAGGATGGACTATTTCCAAGCAGACACATGACCTGGATTCAAAAGCCCTACCAGACTGTTCAGAAGTCCTGCCCCTCCATTACGCTGGGCTACCAATAGATGCATAAGAGGATCTCTAACATCTGTGATAAGCTATTTCCAGAGTGAGTGTGCTTGTAAGATTTGGCCTAGGGAATCCTAATTTTCTCTTTATTGTATTTCTCCTATATTTTAATTCTTTCCATTTCCATTAAACAACTCCCATGCAACGAAGATCAAAGGAAGACAAAACATAATTTGCCCAAATTTTAGTCCAATTGTATCTGATGTGTTTTATTCTTCTCTTCAGTTTGCATCTATTGTGATGCATGTCACTTGCTGAGAGTCCCAAACTACCTTCTCCGAACCTATTTTGAAAGCACTTGTCTCGAACAGAAGGAAAAATGGGCTTTTCATATGCATTGTTAAGATTTCTCCAATCAAGTCATTCCATCCACTTGATGGCAAGTTGAATATGAGTCAGCAGCAGAGTGTCCTGGCAGCCAAAAGGACCAACCATGTCCTAAGGTACATTGAGCACAGCATAGTCAGCCTGTCAAAAGAGGCAGTTGTCCCACTCCACACTGCACTGGTGTGGCCCCACCTTGAGTACTGTGTGCAGTTTCGGGTGCCTCAATGTGAGAAGGACATTGAACTACTCAAGTGTGACCAGAGGACAGTGACCAAGACGAAGGGCCGCAAGGGCAAGACTTATGAGGAGTGGTTGAGGTCAGTTGTCTTGTTCAGTTTGGAGAAGAGAAGGCTGAAGGGTGCCCTTAAGGCAGACTACACTCTCCTCACGGGGGGCAGCAGAGGTGGAGGTGATGATCTCCTCTCTGGTGACCAGTGACAGGACATGAGGAAATTGAATGAGGCTGCGTTAGGAGAAGTTCAAGTTGGACGTTAGGAGAAAGTTCTTCACTGAGAGGGTGGTCAATCACTGGAACAGGCTCCCCAGGGAAGTGGTCATGGGACCAAGCCCGGCTTAGTCATATGAAGTAGTCCTGCAAGGAGCAGGGAGTTGGATCCTTATGGGTCCCTTCCAACTTGAGATATTCTATGATTCTATGATCCTTCTTAGGTTCAAACTTCTTACCTTCAAAGTCTACTTCTCTAATATAATGAGATTTCACATCCTCAGCTTCCATCAGAATCATCCATCATCTTTCCCCTTTTTTCTTCTGTTCGGATAGCTAAGGCTTTTAATCTGTTTTCTTCCTTTAACCCTTCCATTTGCCTTACGAGCATACGCTGGACACATTCTAGTTTCAAATCAAAGACTTTTGTCCCTATCAATCTCTTCATATCATTATGAGTCTGGCAATAAATCTTGCCCTTCATATTTTAAATACTTCACTGAACCACATTTCTGTTCTTACAGATTTGTCAGTCTTTGCCTCTTTAACACAACAATAACGGGAATATTTTCCTAGCAGTACTAAGCTGAGTAACAACTGATACTTGTTTTGGCACTTGTAGTAGGCATGAAAGGTGAATTTATGTTTTCCACTGCATTACACTTACAAGTATATCTGTGGACAGGATAGCTCAGGAGGTCTGCACTGCAGTCCAAGGCCAAGTATAGGATTTATACTCCTCTTTGGGTTAGAAAAGAAAGAATAGCATTGTAAAGGATGCAAATAGAGAAGTCCAAATTTTCTAAGTAGGTAGCAATTTCACTTGAAAAGAGAGCTCTCATGGTATCCAGAAATTCAGGCTGTCTTCCATGAGTGAAACATATCATATTCCCAGCTACAGTTAATTCTTTATTTGAGCTGGAGGAATGTTATGAAGAATAGTTTAGCCCATGTTTATGTAAAGCATTTGAAATCTGGGAAGCTGGACATCTAGAACTCTCCTAGCTGAAACTGTTGCTGACATATCAGTAACAT